AAAAAAAAAAAAAAAAGTAAAACTGAGGAAAAAATAAATTAAATGTGTTATTTTTTCAACTTGAACCATTTAAAGAAGTGTCACGTATAAGTTGTTATTAACTTATGAGATCAGAACGACAAAGAGAGAGCAACAGTTGTCTTCGATTTATAGTTGATGTCCTCGATTTATAGTCGATTTGAATTCTTTATTGATCTACGTATGAACGTGCAGAATATTTCATGGCAAAATAGCCAAACGAACAAGTGTAAGCAACCGACAAATTGAAAAACAAACATCAAATCTCTTAAAATGATGAAACCACATGTCTTTCTGTTTGCAGTGAATTTATTTATGACACGTGTCCAAATAAAACAACCTGCGTTGGCTGAGCTCATAATAAGATGACTCATACCTTGTTACCTTATTTACATATCATAAATTAGCAAATTTTAACTATGATATGGCCAATTACTATAAATTACAAAAGCGACCAACTTTACTTTTTGTCCATTAAGTTATTGTGGAATGGTATCAGGACTTGCTATGAACCTCACCTTATGATCAGGATACAGAGTTCGAGTCCTGGGGAGAGAAAAAGCCACAGAAAGTCCAAACATGGGTTTTCACCCTAGGGCTATGGCACTGTGGAAGTTCATGAGTCTCCGGTGCATGGTCATGGCCCACCGGGGGTCCAACCCCCCAAGTAGGGAAGGCTAACGGCTACGACTGTCAATAGGGATGTGGAACCACTTCAAGAGACAGAGGTGGGACATGCAGGTCAATAAGTTGTGAGCCGGTAGTAGTGTCTGGAAAGAGACCGTAATTAATGGGCATGAATAAATGTGAGTGTAAGGGGGAAATAAAGGGCTCAAATCTAACTGATTGGAGATCACCAAATCATGCTAAAAATGATTGTTGGTCAATTTGAATTTTGAATTCATATTTGGAGCTAAACTAGGCCAAAGGGCGGGCCTCACCTTAAGAATTGGACCAGAAGTAAAAGCTATGAGGGTCGGTTTTTAAAACTCTTGAGGGGCTGATTTGGGTGCAAAGAGGGCAGAGGCCTTAGGCTAGAATGCACTTCAAAAATGGGTTGGCAAAGGCTAAAAAGAATTTGTCTTGCACTCGAACTAAATCGAATGATTTTTTGCTTGAAAGGAAACTTAACTAAACTAAAAAAATAATCTAAGTGGACGAGGACATCTGCTTAAATTATTTAATTCACCTGATTTATTAAATGAGGGCATCCAATCAATCCCAAAGGAATTACATGCCTGGTCGAGATAAGAAAACAATAAAACAACAAGAAAGACAAAGATCATTGACAATGACTCCGTCTTTATCAATCATCATGCATATCAATCGACAAAATTCATTATATGTACGAAAAGGATCAAGGCTCAAACAGGTTACTAAGGAATATCATTTTTGGAACAAAGAACAAGGCAAAAGGGGCTAACAAACAAAACACCTCAATCATTTTCGCAATTTCAAACTTTAACCGATCTTTTTAAATAGACTCCAGGCAAGTTATAATCATTCGAGAATACGACCAATATCTCTCAAGAAAGAAAAATAAGAATCTAAATCCTCACAAGGTAAATAGATATAACGCCCCGTTTGATTATGAATTACTGGAGATTATTATTATTATTAATATTATTATTATTATTATTATTATTATTATTATTATTATTATTATTATTATTATTATTATTATTACTATTATCATTATTATTTTGTTGTTCAAGTCAAGCCGGGGTCAAACCGGACACTTAGAAATAATTTCCAAGTCATTTGGCCCTAAGAAGCTTGACAGGCCCGCGCAGCCCGCGCCAGCAGGCCAGTCCGCACCCCCAGCACGCGCACAG